AACAACCCTCACCACAGGTAAGTACTCTACTTAAGTATTATTTATGGTTATCAAAATGACTATTTGTGAATTCCCCAAAAATTGTTTGTACAGTGCATTCTGAAAGTATTCCGACCCCTTAACTTTTTCCATATTTTGTTACATTACAGCTTTAATAAAACATTTATAAAATATATTTTGTTTGTCATCAATACCCCATAATGACAAAGCAAAAACTGGTTATTAGAATTTGTTGCAAATTTATTACAAATTAAAAAGTATTCAGACCCTTTGCTATGAGACTTGAACTTGAGCTCAGGTGCATCCTGTTTCCATTGATCCTCCTTGATATGTTTCCACAACTTGATTGGACTTCACCTGTGGTAAATTCAATTGATTGGACATGATTTGGAAAGGCACACACCTGTCTATATAAAAGGTCCCACAGTTGACAGTGCAACTGCGCTGTAGTAGTGCAAGCGCTGGTAGAGCACGGCGCTTGTAACGCCAGAGTAGTGGGTTCGATCCCCGGGACCACCCATACACAAAAATGTAAGCACACATGACTGTAAGTCGCTTTGGATAAAAGCGTCTGCTAAATGGCATATTATTATTATTATTATGTCAGAGCAAAAACCAAGCCATTTCGTGGAAGGAATTGTCCGTAGAGCTCCGAAACAGGATTGTGTCGAGGCACAGATCTGGGAAAGGGTACCAAAACATGTCTGCTGCATTGAAGGTCCCCAAGAACACAGTGGCTTCCATCATTCTTAAATGGAAGAAGTTTGGAACCACCAAGACTTTTCCTAGAGCTGGCCGCCTGGCCAAAACTGAGCAATCAGGGGAGAAGGGTCTTAGTCAGGTAGTTGACAGAGAACCCGATGGTCACTCTGACAGAGCTCCAGAGTTCCTCTGTGGAGATGGGAGAACCTTCCAGAAAGACCACCATCTCTGCAGCACTCCACCAATCAGGCATTTATGGTATGGTGGCCAGACGGAAGCCACTCCTCAGTAAAAGGCACATGAAAGCAAGATTATATGATCTGATGAAACCAAGATTTAACTATTTGACCTGAATACGAATCATCACGTCTGGAGGAAACTATGCTGTGGGGATGGTTTTCAGCGGCAGGGACTGGGAGACTAGTCAGGATCAAGGGAGAGATTAACGGAGCAAAGTACAGAAAGATCCTTGATGAAAACCTGCTCAGGACCTCAGACTGGAGAATGGCAGGAGTAGCTTCGGGAAAAATCTCTGAATGTTCTTGAGTGGCCCAGCCTGAGCCCGGACTTAAACCCTATCGAATATCTCTGGAGAGGCCTAAAAATAGCTGTGCAGTGACGCTCCCCATCCAACCTGACAGAGCTTGAGAGGATCTAAAATGAATGGGAGAAACTCTCCAAATACATGTGTGCCAAGCTTGTAGCGTCATACCCAAGAATACTCTAGGCTGTAATCGCTGCCAAAGGTGCTTCAACAAAGTACTGAGTAAAGGGTCTGAATACTTATGTAAATGTCATATTTCGTTTTTTTTATTTTATAAATTAGCTAAAAATTGTAAAAACCTGGTTTTGCTTTGTCATTATGGGGAATTGTGTGTAGATTGACAAGGGGGGAAAAACAATTTAATTCATTTTAGAATAAGGCTGTAACGTAACAGAATATGGAAAAGGTCAAGGGGTCTGAATACTTCGCGAATGCACTAATATCTGAGTTCATGCTTTCTTCAATTCCTCTGAGTCATTAAGTCAAGGAGTTGATCTGCCTCTGGTTACTTTAACTTTATCAGTAGTACAGTGTTAAACACTTGTTATTGTGGAGAGGATTTACAGTGCCTTGCAACAGTATTCATCCCCCTTGGCGTTTTTCCTATTTTGTTGCATTACAACCTGTAATTTAAATTGATTTGGATTTCATGTAATGGACATGCACGAAATAGTCCAAATTGGTGTAGTGGAATGAAAAAAATGACTTGTTTAAAAAAATTATTTAAAACAATAACGGGAAAGTCGTGCGTGCATATGTATTCACCACCTTTGCTATGAAGCCCCTAAATAAGATCTGGTGCAACCAGTTACCTTTAGAAGTCACATAATTAGTTAAATAAAGTCCACCTGTGTGCAATCTAAGTGTCACGTGATCTGTCACATGATCTCAGTGTATATATTATATATTTATATATATATATATATATATAGAGAGATTAACAACAGCCCTGACAATTTATTTCCCCTCAGTACCTCCTGCTCCGGACCAGCTAACTGTTGACACCACGTCAGGTACTGTTAGCTGGAGCCAGCCACCAGGATTGGACCAAACCCAACATCATTACCAGATCTCCTACCACTGTCCAGGGACAGAACCACACATCACTACCACATCTTCACACAGCATCACTCTCTCTGACCTGCAATATGGGACTCAGTACTCTGTCACTGTCTGCACTGTGCTGGAAAATGGAAAGAAAAGTCAACTGGTGTCAACAACCCTCACCAAAGGTAACGAAGTACCCAACATAATTATTATATCTAGTGTCAAAGTTGATTAAACATTAACTAGTTATCAAAATGACTCTAAACTAATCATAATGGATGTGTCAGCATTGGATGTAAAGGTACAGTATCTTCCCTGATGAGAAATATATGATGGTGAATTCCACAGATCTCATAATGCAGTTTGGTGCCGAAATCATTAACAGTTTTTATAGTATCTGAATTCTTGCTCGCTTCCCATTAATGTGAGTCAATATATCAAGTAGTTGATCTGCCTCTGCTTGCTTTAACTTTATCAGTACTAGTGTAAAACACTTCTTATTGTGGAGAGTATTTATAATCACAGCATTCTTTATATTGAAAGAAATTGGTGTGGCGGCGACAATGTAGCAGCACCGTTGCTAAATGAATACAGCAGAAACCCCTAATTTATGTTACTTTACAAATCTAACCAATGTTGTGACTTCTGTTTTTTTTTTTACGTATTTATTTCCATATCAAAAGGAATTGCAAGCCGGCCATTTCTACTTTTCCTCCTGTAATATATTTCTGGAGTTAAACTATAGCCCTGACAATGATCTATTTCCCCTTAGTACCCCCAGCTCCAGACCATCTGAATGTTAACTCAGTGGACACCACATCAGCTACTGTTAGCTGGAGCCAGCCACCAGGATTGGACCAAACCCAACATCATTACCAGATCTCCTACAGCCGTCCAGGGACAGAACCACACATCACCACCACATCTTCACACAGAATCACTCTCTCTGACCTGCAAGGTGGTACTCAGTACTCTGTCACTGTCTGCACTGTGCTGGAAAATGGAAGGCAAAGTAAACTGGTGTCAACAACCCTCACCACAGGTAAGGACGTACCCTACTAAAGTATTATGTCTGTTGTCAAAGTTTATTTTTATCTAGTTATCAAAATGACTGAACTAATCATAATTGATTTGTCAGCATTGGATGTAAAGGTACATTATCTTTTCTACTTTGACTAATATTCTACTTTTCCTCCTGTTCAAGATGATAGAAATCCTCATAATTTGAGCGAAATTATTTCTCTATAGCCTTTACTTTCTCACTCTGAACGCGAATGGGATGGGTGCGGCTTCTTGACAATGATCGCAAAGGCTCCAATGCACAGCGCCCCTGGAGCAATTAGGATTAAGTGCCTTGCTAAAGGGCACTGCAACATATTTTTCACCTTGTCTGCTCCGGTATTCTAACCAGCAACCTTTCGGTTACAGGCCCAACACTGTAACCTCAAGGCTACCTCTCTACCTTACCCCTACCTACAGTGTCCTCTGTTAATATTGAGGCTACCTGTCTCTACCTTACCCCTATCTACAGTGTCCTCTGTTAATATGGAGGCTACCTGCCTCTACCTTACCCCTACCTACAGTGTCCTCCGTTAATATTGAGGCTACCTGCCTCTACCTTACCCCTATCTACAGTATCCTCCGTTAATATTATGGCTACCTGCCTCTACCTTACCCCTATCTACAGTGTCCTCCGTTAATATTGAGTCTACCTGCCTCTACCTTACCCCTACCTACAGTGCCCTCCGTTAATATAGAGGCTACCTGCCTCTACCTTACCCCTACCTACAGTGTCCTACGTTAATATTGAGTCTACCTGCCTCTACCTTACCACTACCTACAGTGTCCTCCGTTAATATTGAGGCTACCTTACCCCCTATCTACAGTGTCCTCTGTTAATATTGAGGCTACCTGCCTCTACCTTACCCCTATCTACAGTGCCCTCTGTTAATATGGAGGCTACCTGCCTCTACCTTACCCCTATCTACAGTGTCCTCTGTTAATATGGAGGCTACCTGTCTATACCTTACCCCTATCTACAGTGTCCTCCGTTAATATTGAGGCTACCTGCCTCTACCTTACCCCTATCTACAGTGTCCTCTGTTAATATTGAGCCTACCTGCCTCTACCTTACCCCTATCTACAGTGTCCTCTGTTAATATTGAGGCTACCTGCCTCTACCTTACCCCTATCTACAGTGTCCTCTGTAGTTATTGGGACAGTGCAGCATTTCTTCTTATGGCTCTATACTCCAAAAGTTTGGATTTGAAATCATGACTGAGATTAAAGTGCAGACAGTCAGCTTTAATTTGATGGTATTTTCATCCATATCGGGTGAACCATAATGTGAAATAACAATGTGTGATAAAGTAGTTAAAAGTTTAGTATTTTCAGAATATCAGGCGCGGGCTGAAAATCGACATCTTCACATTGCATTTTTTTTTAGGGGGCAGTAGAATTAAGGAGGATACATTAAGCGCTTTAATCATAAGTTTTACATTGCAAACAGTAACAATTATTTTTCATGCCACGAAAGGTAGCGGATCCGGCCAAATAGGTTCTGTAACGCATCAGTCCAAACTGGAGAGGTGCCGGATCCTGTTCCCGCAGGATCTGGCTCAAATAAAGCACTGGTGATTCAAGTAAAACACATTAACACATTACCAAAGATCTTACTTTAATAATTTGTGATTCAGTACATTTTCAGTGGTGGAAGAGACCCTCCAGAGTTGCTGCAGTGTGTGTTCTACTGGCTGTGATCATAGGGGATTCCTGTAAGTAACACTTACTGGGGCATTCCAGTAAGTGTTTTCTTTTTTACTAAAACATTTGTAGTCAATGTTGTGACAGTTACACATTTTGATAGACTTTTCCCTTTTACAGATGAGAGAGACAAGTTAAATACCAGGCTTAGGTACTATGGTGAGTGCAGTCTTTTATTTTCTTAATTTACAAGTATCATTTTATTTCATACTTAGAAGAGATGTCATTTATTTGTAGACTTTGAAATGCCTGCTGTTCTATTTCGTTTATTTCAGAGAAACCCTGTTTGAATGAATGGTGGAAGTTTGGCACCAGCTGTTATTATGTCTCTTCCACGAGGGACTCAGGCAGGGAAGGTCAGCGGCAGTGCAAAGCAATGGGTGGAGAGTTGGTTGTTATAAACAGCAGAGAAGAACAGGTAATAGAGAATACATTAGTAATGCTATAATACTACTGTTTCTTTATTATTATTATAATTATTAATCATTATCTACATCTCTGATTAGTATTCAATATGTGTAAATCATTGTATCACCAATGTTCATGTCACTGTCAATTTATAGAATATACTTCCTGTCAGCAAAGCAAGTTTGCATGAGATTATATCTATACCTATACTATAGTATAGCAGCTGAGGCTGAAACCTGATCTCATAGTTTCACTTCGACATTCGACCTAATCTGGATGAAAGTCTATTTTTGACGCATTCATTCCATGTGGTTACAGGGTTAATTCTGTGAGGTTACAGGGTTAAAACAGAAACAACTCAAAGGGTTATGGTTAGGGGTTAAGGTTAGGGCAATTGGTTGGGGAAGGCTTCAAACAAAAATGATTAAAAACAACGCTCTGTTTCCATCAAGTACTCTCCCTCTTGCCTGAGCATTGTGAACTGCCGTGGTGCAGTCGTCAGAGCAGATTGGTCTGTGTGGTGTGAGCACGCTTCCCCTCCATGCTTCCTGAGTTTTCACCAGCGCTCTGCAACTTTTTTGTATTTTTTTGTGAGCTCTGAGGAAGGCATATATCAAAGTACTTAGGACCTTTTCAAACATCCTAAATCCCCTTGTATTTCTATTGACCAGGCTCAGTACATTATACTACTACTACTACTACTATTAGACTACTACTACTATTATTATTTATAAACATGTAAAAGTGTTCCTCTGCTGTGGAGATTAAATAATGGTCATTGTTTTTCTTCCAAAATGATATTATAGATATTTATCCATGGATTAAAGAAGAATGTCTGGATTGGTGCATATACAAATGACGGAATGTGGGAGTGGCTTGTCAACACAGCATTTAAACCTACGTAAGTGAACAGGTTCTGGAGGAGTTTTTTTCTGTTGTAATAAATTACTTTTTACAGTCTGATAATCTTGTCCTCAGCCAGATGTCTCTCTCACTCTCTGTCGAATGGTAGCAATTGAGCCTGGAGACTAGGTTAACCGTCTGATTCTCTATTTTGTATTGGATGATATTAATCTCTGATTCTCTGTGTTGTTTATAGCTATTGGATGGAAGGGGAACCAAGTAACTTGAATGACGAGGTGGCTTGTATTGAGATCTCACAGACGGCATCAGACCCATTGAAGAGTTGGAAGGTTGTAAAATGTACTTCAAATTACTGGGTGTGTGAAAAACCGTTCACACCGTAGTCTAATTATAATAACTAATGTAAGCCCCTATCTTATGGAGTTGCACTGGTTTTCCCTTTGTTAGGCTTAATGTGTTTCTATGTGTATCTACATTGAAAGATGTATTTGATGTCTTTAAAGAGACCAGGGCTATGTGGAGTTTGTCCACCGTTCATCAGGCCCAGGGGAGTGGAACTGTGGTCTAGTAGGCTCTAACTGTGGTCTAGTAGGCTCTAACTGTGGTCTAGTAGGCTCTAACTGTGGTCTAGTAGGCTCTAACTGTGGTCTAGTAGGCTCTAACTGTGGTCTAGTAGGCTCTAACTGTGGTCTAGTAGGCTCTAACTGTGGTCTAGTAGGCTCTATCTGTGGTCTAGTAGGCTCTAACTGTGGTTGATTTTTTTAAAAACTATATTTACAATTTTTACCATTTTAATGTGTGCATATAACAATTGAATAAGATTCTGTTTTCATTTAAGTTTTTACAGATATCAATCCATTTCAAATGCAGCAGTGTTCTGTTTCCTTCCATTCCATTCCATATGTACCATGTATTTCATCAGTAGAATGAACACATCTATATACTGTGATCTAGGTATGTCATTTACTTGTCAGGTATACTGTAATACTAAGTGTTGTAATGTATGAATAGTAACTCCAATGTTTTCCTTCTAAATGGTGTCAGTTATTAGTTAACGTAGTACAGTAAAAACACTTTAGTTAATAGATAGAAAACAGTCGTTATCAGTAAAGTTATAGCAGTACCAGAATTGACCACTAGAAGGGTTGTGTCATCCATGGACATGTGACCAGAGCCCGTATTCACAAAGCATCCCAGAGTAAGAGTGCTGATCTAGGATCAGTTTTGTCTTTGACCTCTCTCTGGTAATGTTCGTTGTTTTATCTTTTTACTTAGCTTACCCAGTACAAAGGAACCGATGGGATAGTCCCAAAAGAGCAAACTCTGCCCAACTAGCAACACAATACTCCTGTTGGATGAAATATTCACATTTAGAACTTCTGTGCAGTATTCTGGAACTTGAACTTAAAACCTAAACATGTGCATCTTCTAAGGCTCCAACCTTAGCTATACCCACTGGATACCATTATGGACCTATAGCGTTCACATAATAATGGAGTCAGATTGATAAATGTAGGTTATTATTATATTCAACATAATTTCTACACATCTACACCTTAACAGGTGTCTTGAACATACTGAAGTCTGAGATTCCTGAGTTCCCAGGTGTTTTGAATGCAGCATTAGGGGATCTGTTCTCCACCACCCACAACCTTCCTAGGTACATCATTAGGGGATCTGTTCAGATATGTTATGATATGATATGAGATCAGATCAGATATGATACTGTATGAGATCAGATCACATATAATGTATTAGATATGATATGGTAATTTATTAGCTCAGATATGATATGGTACTTTAGGAGATCAGATATATGGTAATTTATGAGATCAGATTTGATATGGTAATTTCTGTTTGGTTAAATTTGAAGACATCTTCTGCAACACAAGTTAAATATCCAGTAACAATTTCTATGACGCATACACATATAATGCCCTGTAAAACATTTATAACGCCTTAATATTCACTATAAGATATTAGAATTGCTCATAAGTAAATGTGTAACATACAACAATAAATGTAAAGAAATATGGTAACAGGGATCCCTTTTAACAAACATTACACTTTTTGCCTCTGTCTCAAAATCCACATCAGCCAATTAAAATTGTGAATGTAGTTGTACACTGTCAAACACTACATACAGTGCCTGCAGAAAGTATTCTCATCAATAGATGTTTTCCACATATTGTTGTGTCACAGCCTAAATTTAAAATGGATTAAATTCAGATTTTGGGTCACTGGCCTACACAAAATACCCCATTATGTCAAAGTGGAATTATGTTTTCAGAAATGTTTAAAAATTAATTAAATGAAAATCTGAAATGTCTTGATTCAATAAGTATTCAACCCCTTTGTTATGTCAAGCCTAAATATGTCCAGGAGTAAAAATGTGCTTAACAAGTCAAATAATAATTTGCATGGACTAACTCTGTGTGCAATAATAGTGTTAACATGACTAATAGTGTTTTGAATGACTACCTCATCTCTGTACCCCACACATACAATTATCTGTAAGGTCCCTCAGTCGAGCAGTGAATTTAAAACACTGATGTGAGCACAAAGACCAGGGAGGTTTTCCAATTCCTCACAAAGCAGGACACCTATTGGTAGATGGGTAAAAATATATATAAGTCAAGGGGTATCAATACTTTCTGGAATTATAGCACTGCAATCACTGACCTGTTTGAATATACAGATTATTGCTGCAAGGACTAATTCACATAAACACAATGACACAACTATACAGTATGTGAGAGAAAAGTGTATTGCATCTTTGTCAAAGATACAACATGTAAAGAATGACTTCTGATTTATTTTTAAAATCTCAGCATTCTTTAATTATAGAAACATGCAACATATCTCGATTCATCTGCTAAACATTACACAAACAAAGATGTACACGATTTATCATTAAATACTTGTTTATAGGAAAATAAATGAAGACATACAAAATAAATACAACTCATTGAATGAACATTATTTCTAATTGTGGTGATTCTTCCCAAATAAACTACAATAAGTATGAACACAGAGGGGAATGGAAAGAAAAAGGACTGAGGGAGAGAGAGAGATGAAAGAGAGAAGGAGAAAAGTGTAGAAAAAAGCGGGTTGAGAGAAAATTAATTCTGTAATTTTAATATCTGTGACCAATCTCTTTATATCATAAACGCATTGAATTTATTGAATATTGGGACTCTGTACCGCTTTGAAATCATATCATAGTAACCAGGAGTGGTATGGTGTTGATATCATAGTAACCCGGAGTGGTATGGTGTTGATATCATAGTAACCAGGAGTGGTATGGTGTTGATATCATAGTAACCAGGAGTGGTATGGTGTTGATATCATAGTAACCAGGAGTGGTATGGTGTTGATATCATAGTAACCAGGAGTGGTATGGTGTTGATATCATAGTAACCAGGAGTGGTATGGTGTTGATATCATAGTAACCAGGAGTGTTATGGTGTTGATATCATAGTAACCAGGAGTGGTATGGTGTTGATATCGTGTATCTAAACAGCAAAAGGAGTGTGCATTGTGGCTCGAGAAATAATTGACACATGAAGTGAACAGCATTGATTGTCGGAGAAGGGCACTGGTCAAATGGGCTATTTCTGGCGTCCCGTTGGACATTGATAATCAATATCTTAGGCTAAAAAATCCAGGAGTAGTTAATGCACGTCTCTTGGCCCGTATGAAGAATGGGAAAAATGAGCAAAGTTTATCTGTACGTTTGATGAGTATTTACCAACCTATGTAAAGTTGTGATGTATAAGATACGCCGTAAGAGTGTTCGTGCAAAACCCTACGCAATGCAAGAAGTGTAAAAAATGTGGCCATGTGTCCAGTTTACAGACGGAAGGAATATGTTATTGAAGAGTCTGAATGTAAAATGTTGCAACTGTGGTGGGGATCATTGCCTAAATAAAGGTGAAATAAAAAATAAATAAAAATAAAATAAATAAATAAATATTTCCGAATTCCCTGAGTGCCCTGTTAGGGTGAAAGAGGTTGAGCTATCAAGCAAATCTCCTATGAGGAGGCGGTGAAGAACGTTGAAGGGGAAAGAGTCCTCAGTTCTGAAGATATGGCGGTGGATCCACCACAACCAGTTGCACATGTTATACATCAACCAAGTAATCTGGATACACTTATTGTGAAGAAGGTGTATTTTGTAGTATTTGTAGCCACAGTTATTAATTGTACTGCACAAGTGTCCAAGAAGCTGGACTTCATTATATCTGCAGCCGATACGTTTTTGGGCCTTCAAGACTTAACAGCAGAAGCACTGCAAGGATCCTTATTATCCACATGTACAGTAGGTGGCGGAATGCAGATAAAATTGTTGCGATTATACCAAAGAAGAAGAGGAAAGTCAATTCGACTACTTTTTTTATGTGGCTTCACCCGAAGCTTCTCGACAGCAGGAGAAATGGTAGGTTCATATTTGTATTAAATAAGTCAGGTGTAAGATTCTTTAGGAGTCAATTCTTATTTATCCCAACGATACGTGAACATAATAAGGCCCGGTTTTCAACTTCTCTTTCTAATAAATGGCAGGTAAAAATATCAAATACCCAACTAGGCCAACTACGGCGGAGTGCGCACAAGGAAGTCTACGAAAGGTGTTGGCTTTTACACGGCGATCTGACGCTGAGATGTAATCTATTAAGCCGATATATTGATATATTTATCCTAAAATAATACATCCTTATGTCGAAAGAAACAATAGACAATCCTGCCTATACAGTGTATTTCTTTCAAACGTTGATAGGTGGTCATGTCGATGAGTGCTCTGTAGGCCTAATTGACTTGCGGTACATTTTTACAGTGGTTGTGTCCGAATACCCATACTTATGTTTAATTAGTAGGCATTTTAGGTATGAAAATAATGTAACATTTCGAAAATGGAGTGCTTTTAGTAAGAAGTGGGCAATACAGATTTCAGACATGGCCTATGACTTCCCGTCGCAGCTGCACCCAGTCAAACCGGACAACATGGATGCGTAAAAACGCGACCACTTTCGAATTAAGTTGGGACCATAGAGCTAGATAGAGGACTCACCCTTGTATCTATTCTATTTAGCATCTCTGACAGCATGGGCAGCGCCGATGAGGCTATCTCCATTTTAAAGGAGTACATTTTCTTCGTCAGCCAGTGATGTTGGAAGTCCCACCCAGTTGACTACATTAATATGATGTCATCCCTCGATGGCGCTGCCCATTCTAACGTGGCCTTTTGGCCGCTAGAGGCCTCTATCATTCTCTATGGTTGGGGCGTTTGGGGTAGAAGGGATACCATTAGTCAGAAATGACCAGGTTTGACTTTTCGTAGCAGGTTGGTTAGGATAAATTATGCAGAAAGTTGGGATAATTAAGGTTAGGAAACGGGTTAGGGTTAACTTAAATGCAAAAGGAAATCAACTTTTGACGTCAATTAGACATAAACTGTATCCCGTCTAGCATTGACCAGGTTAGGTCGAATTGGTGTCCAGCCTGCATCATTTCTACAATGCGGTGCGTTTTCTGTCTCCAGGAAATATCAATTCTTATTTAGTTTAACATGTGGATTCCAAATGCCTTTAAATATAAGGTCCGGAGTCCTTAAAAACACCAAAATATGGATCTTGAAAGGGAATTGTATGTGTTTTGAACACTTTTCTTCAGTGGATGTTGGTGTTTTATTATTGTATTTAAGATGTTCTGTGTCCATGATATCACTTTCCACCCTGTTAGTTTGTTGTAAATCTCCATTTAAGAAAATAACCCTTTCCTACAATGACACCACATTCAGGAATTGTCATCATTTCTTTGGTGGGAAAACAATGTTCTAAAGCTACATGAAAATTAACCACATTTCAAAATGTTAAAATATGTTTGATAGAGAAGTTAAAATCATGTTCAAGGGTCCAGCATTATTCTAGCTCAAACTTGTTCACTCACAAAACTATGGCTAATTTAGCCAACACATTTCCACCCAGTTAGTTTCCACCCTGTTAGGATTATGCACCTAACATGTTGGAAAATGCACCAAAAACATTAAGTGCCTGAGTTTGACCAATATATTTTTCTGAAAGTCAGACATATCCTTTTTCTAATAGAATACTACACTAAATTATAATTTTTTTCTCCAAAAGTTATGAGGTCCAAAATGCACCACATTGTAGGAATGACCCAGCTAATACTATTTCCTAAAAGATGACTGACATGACAAAAGACAACGAAATAACCTAATTACATATGGACTACTATATTTATATCAAGTGGGCTAAACTTGCATATTTATTTCAACGTTGGCTACCAATATATATATATATATACCAACAATAAAACATTTTTTGAATGCAATGAAACGTGCAATTGTGCATGTTTTCTTCACCATGGCAAAACATTCAGGAGAACTTCAGTGCCCGTATAAGTCGGAACGCTGTGAAGGAATATTTATGCAAATGTATGCACTCACTAACTAACTGTAAGTCGCTCTGGATAAGAGCGTCTGCTAAATGACTAAAATGTAAATGTTAAATGAATATACAGGTATCTGCCTAAATAAAGTATCTTAACAGGGAGTTGGGCCCCCACCAGCTGCCAGAACAGCTTCAATGTACCTTGACATAGATTCTACAATTGTCTGGAACTCTATTGGAGGGATGCGACACCATTCTTCCACAAGAAATTCCATAATTTGGTGTTTTGTTGATTGTAGTCAAACGCTGCCTCAGGCGCGGTTCCAGAGTCTCCTATAAGTGTTCCATTGGTTTGAGATCTGGCGACAGACACACACCCTTTAAAGGCCCTGTGCTCCGTTGAGACCCCTCTTTCAAAGTCACTGAGATCTCTTCTAGCCATGGTAGCCAAAATAATGGGCACCTGGGCATTTTTATACATGGCCCTAGGCATGATGGGATGTTTTAATCACTTAATTAACTCAGGAACCACACCTGTGTGGAAGCACCTGCTTTCAATATACTTTGTTCCATCATTTACTCAAGTGTTTCCTTTATTTTGGCAGTTACCTGTATGTCAAAAGCAGTTGATGTATCTTGATTTTAAAATATCTGTTGTACATTTACCAAAGTAACAAGTTCTGTGTTTTTAAAGAAATGACTGATTCATATTTTGTTCTCACGCTTTAAGAGTTGTGTTGGCGACCATCACACAATGCTGGCCTCAGATGATGATGGTAGGTATGAAAACACAGAATAAACTGACCCAAGCTATATTATTTAATTTAAATCTCAATTTAAGAGGATATTTAGTAAGATATAAATAGTTGTCCCTTAACTGCTGGGATGAATAATACACATTTGTTTATGTAATTTTACTGCCAATAAAGTTTGTTTCTCTCTCATTATTCCTTCACCAGTGCTGCCCCCTCCTGGTGACATCCAGGTCCTGTTGCTGACATTAGATTCAGTGTCTCTGAGCTGGGGTTCTCCTCAGGGGCTGACAGGACCACAGACATTCAGAGTGACATGGGGGTGTGACGGTGAAACAAGCTCAACAAGAGTGAAAGGTGGGCATCATCTTGAAATAAGCAGTCTCCAACCTGGTGAAAAGTACCAGTTCAACGTGGCTACAGAGGGAGAAGATGGAAGCCAAAGCAGATGTGTCTCAGCATCCCTATCCACAGGTACAGTAGGCTAACTTGTGTTTTTATTCAGACTACATCATTCATTCATTCCTAGAGACATTGCTGGACTCTCTGTCAAAAACAGCTCATCCTCTATTCTAAACAAATATTGTTTTTTGTTGCAGTGGTCCCACCCAGAGACTTAAAGGTAGACAATTTGAACGATACCTCCTTCACTCTCCGCTGGTCCAAGGCTGAAGGGATGGGGAAAGTCCCACAGCACTTCTTCATATCCAACTGCATCCCAGGAAGAGACCCCCTCGCAGCCAATACTGACGACTGCCACAAAACCTTCTCAAACCTGCAACCCGGCACCGAGTACACTGTTAGTGTTGCAACTGTGTTGAACAATGGGGAACAGAGTGAACCTGTCTCTACAACCATCTGCACTAGTAAGAGATCTTCCCCCAATTACAGCTCATTGTCTCTTTACCACTAACTACAACGATGTTGTTACCTTACAAATACACGTTTTGTTGCTTCTGTTCTGTTTCTAGCTTATTTCTCCCCATATTAAAAGCCCTGGCTTTATTCTACTTTTCCACCGGCAAGGCTATAAATATTTTATTAAATGTTTAAGGGATTCAATTATTTTATTTTTTAAAGTGAGGTGAGTGAACATTTTAAGGTAGAACTAGGGCTGTTGCGGTGACCATATTACCGCCCCACCGGCAGTCATGGGTCATGGCCTCAGTAAAATTCCACAAGGCCCAGATCCCCGTCATTCACGTGAGGAAGAGACGGAGATATCGTGGACGCAGATCCGGGTGCCTTGTAAGGATCCGACGGCGAACGAGTAAACTGCCTCTCCCATCAATCCTATTAGCCAATGTTCAATCTTTTGAGAATAAAATTGACGATTTAAGATTACGGTTATCCTACCAACGGGACATTAAAAACTGTAATATCTTATGTTTCACGGAGTCGTGGCTGAACGACAACAATGACAACATTCAGCTAGCGGGCTATACGCTACATCGACAGGACAGAACTGCAGACTCTGGTAAGACAAAGGGTGGCGGTCTGTGTATATTTGTAAACAACAGCTGGTGCACAAAATCAAATACTACGGAAGTCTCGAGGTTTTGCTCGCCTGAGGTAGAGTATCTTATGATAAGCTGTAGACCACACTATTTACCAAGAGAGTTTTCATCTATATTTTTCATAGCTGTCTATTTACCACCACAAACCAATGCTGGCATTAAGATTGCACTGAATGAGTTGTACAAGGCCATTAATCAACAGGAAAACGCTCATCCAGATGCAGCGCTCCTAGTAGCCGGGGACTTTAATGCAGGGAAACTTAAATCCGTTCTACCTCATTTCTACCAGCATGTTAAATGTGCAACCAGAGGGGAAAAAACTCTAGACCACCTTTACTCCACACACAAAGACGCATACAAAGCTCTCCCTCGCCCTCCATTTGGCAAATCTGACCATAACTATATCCTCCTGATTCCTGCTTATAAGCAAAAACTGAAGCAGGAAGCACCAGTGATTCGGCTAATAAAAAAGTGGTCAGATGACGCAGATGCCAAGCTACAGGACTGTTTTGCTAGCACAGACTGGAACATGTTCCGGGATTCTTCAGACAGCATTGAGGAGTACACCACATCAGTCACTGGCTTCATCAATAAGTGCATCGATGATGTCGTCCCCACAGTGACCGTACGTACATACCCCAACCAGAAGCCATGGATTACAGGAAACATCCGCACTGAGCTAAAGGGTAGAGCTGCCGCTTTCAAGGAACGGGACTCTAACCCGGACGCTTATAAGAAATCCCGCTATGACCTCCGACGAACCATCAAACAGGCAAAGAGTCAATACAGGTCTAAGATTGAATCATACTACACTGGCTCTGACGCTCGTCGGATGTGGCAGGGCTTGAAAACTATTACAGACTACAAAGGGAAGCACAGCCGCGAGCTGCCCAGTGACACAAGCCTACCAGACGAGCTAAACCACTTCTATGCTCGCTTCGAGGTAAGCAACACTGAAGCATGCACGAGAGCACCAGCTGTTCCGGATGACTATGTGATCACGCTCTCCGTAGCCGATGTGAGTAAGACTTTTAAGCAGGTCAACATTCACAAGGCCGCAGGGCCAGACGGATTACCAGGACGTGTACTCCGAGCATGTGCTGACCAACTGGCAAGTGTCTTCACTGACATTTTCAACATGTCCCTGACTGAGTCTGTAATACCAACATGTTTCAAGCAGACCACCATAGTCCCCGTGCCCAAGAACTCTAAGATAACCTGCCTAAATGACTACCGACCCGTAGCACTGACGTCTGTAGCCATGAAGTGCTTTGAAAGACTGGTCATGGCTCACATAAACAGCATAATCCCAGAAACCCTAGACCCACTCCAATTTGCATACCGCCCCAACAGATCCACAGATGATGCAATCTCTATCGCACTCCACACTGCCCTTTCCCACCTGGACAAGAGGAACACCTACGTGAGAATGCTATTCATTGACTACAGCTCAGCATTCAACACCATAGTGCCCTCTAAGCTCATCACTAAACTAAGGATCCTGGGACTAAACACCTCCCTCTGCAACTGGATCCTGGACTTCCTGACGGGCCGCCCCCAGGTGGTAAGGGTAGGTAACAACACATCTGCCACACTGATCCTCAACACGGGGGCCCCTCAGGGGTGCGTGCTCAGTCCCCTCCTGTACTCTCTGTTCACCCATGACTGCATGGCCAAGCACGACTCCAACACCATCATTAAGTTTGCCGACGACACAACAGTGGTAGGCCTGATCACCGACAACGATGAGACAGCCTATAGGGAGGAGGTCAGAGATCTGGCCGTGTGGTGCCAGGACAACAACCTCTCCCTCAACGTGACCAAGACAAAGGAGATGATTGTGGACTACAGGAAAAAAAAGAGGACTGAGCACGCCCCCATTCTCATCGATGGGGCTGTAGTGGAACAGGTTGAGAGCTTCAAGTTCCTTGGTGTCCACATCACCAACGAACTATCATGGTCCAAACACACCAAGACAGTCGTGAAGAGGGCACGACAAAGCCTATTCCCCCTCAGGAGACTAAAAAGATTTGGCATGGGTCCTCAGATCCTCAAAAAATTCTACAGCTGCACCATCGAGAGCATCCTGACTGGTTGCATCACCGCCTGGTATGGCAACTGCTTGGCCTCTGACCGCAAGGCACTACAGAGGGTAGTGCGTACGGCCCAGTACATCACTGGGGCAAAGCTCCCTGCCATCCATGACCTCTATACCAGGCGGTGTCAGAGGAAGGCCCTCAAAATTGTCAAAGACTCCAGCCACCCTAGTCATAGACTGTTCTCTCTGCTACCGCACGGCAAGCGGTACCGGAGTGCCAAGTCTAGGTCCAAAAGACTTCTCAACAGCTTCTACCCCCAAGCCATAAGGCTCCTGAACAGCTAATCATGGCTACCCGGACTATTTGCACTGCCCCCCCCACCCCATCCTTTTTACGCTGCTGCTACTCTGTTAAGTATTTATGCATAGTCACTTTAACTCTACCCACATGTACATATTACCTCAACTACCTCAACTAGCCGGTGCCCCCGCACACTGACTATGCAACGGTACCCCCCTGTATATATAGCCTCCCTACTGTCACTTTATTTTACTGTATATATAGCCTCCCTACTGTCACTTTATTTTACTTCTGCTCTTTTTTTCTCAACACTTTTTTGTTGTTGTTTTATTCTTACTTTTTTGTTTAAAATAAATGCACTGTTGGTTAAGGGCTGTAAGTAAGCATTTCACTGTAATGTCTGCACCTGTTGTATTCGGCGCATGTGACCAATAAAATTTGATTTGATTTGAGTCACGGTAATCTCCTTTTTATGCACTCTGGACATGCTTTGGCATTACCCAGCTTGCTAACTACCATCAGGTCCTAATGGCCTGGTACTCGGGGCTCTGTTGTCCCTCTAACCATCAGGTCCTAATGGCCTGGTACTCAGGGCGCTGTTGTCCCTCTAACCATCAGGTCCTAATGGCCTGGTACTCAGGGCTCTGTTGTCCCTCTAACCATCAGGTCCTAATGGCCTGGTACTCAGGGCTCTGTTGTCCCTCTAACCATCAGGTCCTAATGGCCTGGTACTCAGGTCTCTGTTGTCCCTCTAACCATCAGGTCCTAATGGCCTAGTACTCAGGGCTCTATTGTCCCTCTAACCATCAGGTCCTAATGGCCTGGTACTCAGGGCTCTGTTGTCCCTCTAACCATCAGGTCCTAATGGCCTGGTACTCAGGTCTCTGTTGTCCCTCTAACCACTCTGACATCAATGCATTCGGAAATCACATCAAACACTTATCATCTAAACAGTATGCACTTTTAAAACTCACCTCACTGTGAAGATCAATTTGATGAAAGAAGTTCAATAACAGGTTGAAACTGAGTGGAAAACATGGTAGTTGTAGATGTTGTTTCAAAGCCTAACATAATGAAATGGACAGTGCTTTCTAAGGTGATGATTCATTCAAAACACCCATGCGCATATTAGAGGTGATGCATATATGAGGCCAAGCCCCCCCCCCCCCCCCAAAAAATAAATAAATAAATAAATAAATAAATGGAATTAAAATAATGATTGTGTATTCTTCTTACTATATAATTATATAATATAAAATAATCGCACAGGACTTAAGCTTATCGTGTCTGCTAAATGAACAAGTCTACAGCCTATGGCATGGTGCATAGCCAGATAATATACAGTAGGCCAACTATTCTGTTCTTCTGAAATACATTTTCTTCATATCATAATGTTTCTTTAGTCCTGCCTAAAATATATCATTGATTTATTGTGATGGTGTATAATATTTATTATACATTTTTTTTAAATGTAGATGTTCCAAAAAGAAAGCATCAGCGGCTTGTATGTGTTGAGGCCTGGAGATGCTAAACGTGTTTACCATAAAACTTAAATTAATAGCCCAGGCGTTTATTTACATAATGCACACAGCTTTTGCTCATTTGCATAGTTAATGTAAATTGCATTTACATCCAGAATTGTTATAAATGCACTAATGTGTTATAAATTACACGTCACATTTATTTTGTCTTAGTATGCCTCTATTTCAAAGAAGAAGAAAAAACTTCCTTGACAGAATATTCTCGTCTTTGACTCTGCATTTTCGAGAGGTCTTACTTTTGGCACTAGAGGGCGACGGGCCGATTTCTTGGGATCTGTACTCCCGAAGTTGTTCACTGTTTTTGTGTTTCCAGTTAGCAGTTGTCAGCAGCCAATGGCTATCAGTTTCTTACTGGCGATAGAAATTGATGATTGACATAGTTTTTTCGAGGCATTACTGAATTATTTAATGTAACAAATCAAACATTAAACCTTGTAAACAATTCATGGTAATTCGTGGTAACCTCGTAAACAATTCATAAATTCATAGTCAGTTACCGTGAGACCGGCTGTCTATTGCATGACAATAACCAGCTGACAAAATGTCATGACCTCCACAGCCCTAGGTAGAACATCTTCTTAAAACACTATGGCAATCTTAGTGCAACACCTAGCAGCCTAATCAAGAGAGGTTTCCTTGTGGGGAGGCTGAAAGAGGCATAGTTCAGCCATTATCTGAGAG